GAAGTCTCCGACGACACTTAGACCTAGTGGCCCATTGTATCTTATCTACATGCCGTTATCAATTTCACCATATACGACTCATGGTGTTTCTTAAGGGCCACTTCAACATAAAAGACCCTTCTCGTTCAGGTTCCGGAAGATTGCTCTTCCGATCCCTGTTCTCGTCTACGAAGAAGGCCAAAAGTTTTCCTTCTCCTACGAGTGACGGGGGAAGGGGTTGGTCCAGCACTGTGGTGCCCCCTGCGCAGGGCTAAGGCTACTTACTCTGAGATGTCGCCCTGTTTCCCAGAGGCCCCGTTAGCGACACCATACCTCGGTGCCATTCATCCATCACCACGGGTTCCCACAGCTTAGATTAGGTTGCCAGAGCCTCGTTTACCAGTCCTCGGCCACCCAAACAGATATCAGCAAATCGCCCCATCCCTGCCACATAATTATGTCCACAAATTGTCCCATCTGGTCGGAGATAGCAAAGATGGTCCCAAAATGCTTCATCCGTTGAGTGGCCGCGGTCTGTCCTCCCCACACCACTTGGGGTTGGGCTTGGAGAGGAGGAGGAAAAGAGAAGTTGGCCAAGAAAGGCCAATAGATAAATTGAAAAAAGAAGAGAGAAGAGGATATCACCCAAGACAAGTTGAAGTATGGTGAATGACCCATACAATCCCATTAAAAAATTATTAATAATATTCATCAGTACTATTAGATGCGAAATACAAAATTTAAGTTCTCCGAATGAAATACAATTATAGTTGAGAAAATTGAGTAAGTATTATATAGTGAAAAGTAAAATGGTTTGCAGGAAAATGAAAATAATACTGTTCTATTCCATTCATTTTACACTCCTCAATTTTGATGGCGAATTCCTCAAATCTGATACCAAATTCTAAATATTCGATACTGAACAATCAGCACCTTAATTTTTCCTGAGTATGTTAAACGTTTGCTCAGTTGTGAATGAAGAAGAAGTGTATCAAAAATGAGGCAAATATATACTGGGTATCCCATTAGTTTTAAGTAATAACTGCTAAAGAAATGAGCAGAATCTAAATTTATGGTATTATTCAGAACCATACACTCTTAGTTGATGTATGTCCATTTCCCAATGGAACATCCTAGAAAATATTGAGAGGGAAAACCGACATTTTCAGGTGTGCAACCCCAGCACAATGACACAATTTATTTTCAGCACAAGACATTCATATCTACTTCCTCACAACAGATTCCTGCATCGACTTCATATTATTTTCTCACTTTTTTCACATACATCCGCCGCACGACACACCATTTAACGTGCATATTATAATAATGTGTTTCTCTAGTTCGGTTCCGCCCAAAAGGATAATTTTTTTCAACAACGAGAGTGAACAACGATGTGAAAATGTGAGTGAGAATTTACTACCGGCCTTATGGGGATTGGCTGTTTATATGGATTTGAGCTCTACTAGTCAATATCGATTCAATTCGGAATTGTCCGATGAGGTAAGTGGCTTTCCATTGATTATCACTGAATGTATGTATTGTTTTTTCATAGAATAGGAATTTGAATCATTCAACATCGAATGAAAACTGAAAGTCATCAGCACAAAATAGTCAATAAATTGTATAAACAGGGTGGCATTGAAATTAGGGCAAATATTCCAAACACTGAGAAAGCTCGACATGTACTATCGAATGGCACTATGAAAAAAAATTGAGGGATCTATATTGAATTTAAGGTTAGACCGTGTTAGAGGCCTTTTTCCACCCAAAGTTCTACAATGTAGCAAATCTGACGTCACCTCTGTTAAAATTTTCATGCGATAGGCACAATCACGCGGAGTTCAATCATTCAAATTGTTTAAAGTGGTGTACTTTATTTTTTTCTCGTATTTTGTTCAATTCTCGGGATGGCACTTCTTGTTAATCAAAAGAAATAGACCAAATCTGATTTCCTGGTAATATTCCTTAACCTGTATCATATTAATGTGCTGAATATGTGCACTTATTTAAAAAACACCTTGTATATATTTTTTCTGTGACAAAAAAAAATAGACATCTCTCATCTCTGTTGTGTAATCTACACAATGTCACTTTCCACGGGAAAAAATTTTGTACTTTTCACCCAGAGGTGGAAGGTTATGTGATTTTGAAAAGATCCATTCATATAAATACTATTATAAAAAGAGCTACCCTTTTCGAGAAATCATCGCTTATGAATTCGAAATTGGAGGTAACAAAATTCGTTTTTAAAATTCGAACGAGCAAAAAATGTTTTCATCGCATGAGATCTCATTTTGTTTTCAATATCGATGAAATATGTATCCAAATTTATAAGAAAAAAGCGATACACAGAGACTAAGATTGTATTCTGAGGCTTCAGCCGAGGGGTATATTATATTCTTCACCACCAAGGTATATATCACATACTTTTCATAACTAGCAATATATTTCAGTCATCATACTTCTGTGAAACTGAGATATAATAGTTATTTATTATACAAGGGAAAAAAGTAGTAGATTTTAGCTCCAGGTTGTGTTGTCTCCCGACGCGTAGCGGAGGGAGACAAAAAACCGTGAGCTAAAATCTAATATTTTTCCCGTGTATAATACACTATTTTTTTCTGACAGAAGGAAGGACGAATCAATATTGAGAAGATATTACATTATTTCGAAATGTGAAAATTATCGACGTGAAATTTCAAGTTTTTAACAGTAGGGACACCTGCGTTTTATAGACATCTTTATCATTCTTTTGAAGTAATCAAATATCTGATGTCACTTCTGTCAGTTCAATTCTGTGATTTGATTTTAAAAAATTGCGAATTTAGTAGTTGTTTAGAAATATACGAAACCGCGAAGTCGAATGGAAGATAAAAGGACTTGCAGTTCTTTCTCGGAGACGGTATTATTGACTCATTTTTCGGAACTATAGCACAACAAAAGCCATTAACAGAGTATATATGTGTGATATATATCCGGGAAAGAAGTACTCACTTTTTTCCCACGGGAAAAAAGTAATTTATGAAAAGTGACATTTTATAACCTGCCAACAGAGATGAAATGCCAAACTTTTTTCCCGTCTCAGAAAAAACCTATTGTCACTATAGGAAGCACTTCTGTTCAATTCAAATGAAAATCTAGCAGCCAGATCAAAAATGACCACATGGCTCTATGCCAGCGTCATCAGGCCTATGATAGCATATGGGTCAGTAGTTTGGTGGTCAAAGACACAACAGGCTGGAGTGATTCGAAGGCTCAGTGCTATTCAAAGGCAAGCTTGCCTGAGTGCCACTGGTGCAATGAAAACCACTCCAACAGCCGATTTAGAGGTCCTCTTGAACCTACCACCACTACAAATATATATTCAAGGCGAAGCCAGAGCAGTCGTGAGTAGATTGTCAAGGGGTCAAGCACCCATAAGCAACGCGCACGGTAAAGACTATAGAAAGCTATATGAAGAGTTGGAAAGCGACTCCATCATGGGAATGCCAACGGATGGCATAATTCCAAAATATAGCTTTGAAAAAACTTTTTAAATAAGTATAACGGACAGAGAGGCATGGAAGGAAGGACCTCCTATCAATGCAGACATTGCTGTCTATACGGACGGCTCCAAAACTGAGTTTGTATCAGGAGCTGGTATTTATGGGGCCAAGCCAAAGACAAGAATCTCACTGAGCTTAGGTAAATACGCGACGGTGTTTCAGGCAGAAATTATTGCAATACATCATTGCGTGAACGAATTGATAAGGCAAGAGTTCAAAGGCAAAACCATTGCAATCTATTCAGATAGCCAGGCGGCAATCAAAGCAGTCAACTTTATGCAAGTTAACTCAAAACTAGTATGGGACTGCTTAGAAACCCTAAATGCACTGGGCAGTCAGAACAGACTGACTCTAGCATGGGTACCAGCACATACAGGGTACGAGGGCAATGAAGAGGCAGACTCACTTGCCCGAGCAGGAGCAAACAAAACTCTGAATGGCCCAGAACCCTTCTGTGGTATTGCGAAAGCTATACAAAAGACTAGTATCAAATCATGGATGCAAACCAAATCTCAAGAATGGTGGAACAAATCGCCAGGAATGAGACAGGCAAAAGAGTTTATTAAAAAACCATCGCCAACATTCACAGAATATCTACTAAGCCAGAAACGAAGTTCAACTAGAATACTAGTGGGACTTCTCACAGGGCATTGTAGGCTCAACAAACACATGAGTACGATAGGTCTGACTGAAGAACTGCTGTGCAGGTTCTGTCAGGAAGAGGAGGAAACAGCAGTACACATACTTTGCCACTGTGAGGGCTTGTCAAGACTAAGGTTCCTTACGCTGGGTGAGGAAAAACCAGAAGCCCAGAGATACACAGGGGATCTGAAAGCTAGCCTATGGAGTCTCATAGAGAAGACGGGGCTAGCCGAAGAACTCTAATCGATTTTGAGGGCAGACACAATAGATCTGAAAAGGTCGCGGTGTGGAGGCAGATAGCCCGAAGGCCCCATTCTAAATATAATCTAATCTAGCAGCCATGATTCGTGTGCCATTCCTCAAAATCTCACATCAGAACAGTGAATTCTGATAGAAAAAACACACGTTACGCCTTGAAAAGGAGTGAATAATGGTAGGTTCTATAGCTTGTGGTGGAACAAAGAATGTTAGGTTTCGAGAGAAAAACAATCTGCAAAATATTTATTTCCCAAGTGCTGGATTGTGCTTTGATTGAGGTCAGATAACGATAACCACCTGCTGAGTTTTTGATTCAAATGAATACAGTGGGAGGAATACCAAACTGTTTTCATGCCATATTAACCTATGATTATTGTTTTCAGGTGTTCCTGAAACCCGATCAACATGAAAGACAAACTACCCGGATGTTCAACCTAGTACACCATCATACATCAGGATATGTTCCACTATACAATGACTTCACTCCACCATCCATTGATCTGCTCAAGATACAGAGTCACACAACGAACCGGCAGTTATGGAAAACAGTCCGGCTATTGAGGCGATCCAAGTGAGATGCTATCGTTGGAAAAGATGGACGAAAATGCAGGAGTTAAAGGCGACCAGGACCTCGTCGTCCAACAAAAATATGACCCCAACGTAGACTACGTCATCAACGAATACATGGAGCGACTGGGCACTCGCCTCAACATCCTGGAAACCGAACTGAAGTACGCGTGGAGAGCTCTGGACCTGCTGTCGCAGGAGTACATCAAGATGTGGGAACGTCTCGAAAAACTGGAAGGACTGCTCTACGAACAGCAGAGCGTCATATCTCAGCTGCTGGACTTCTACACGACCAGCGGCACTCAAGCTCAACAAGCTACCGTGGCTTCACTACAAGGCAAATTGGGCGAGCTTGAGGTAATCAGAGAGATCCTGGGTAACGGAGCAATCGAAGACGGTCTGGAGGAAGGACTCGACATCATCACCCATAACCGGTCTCCAGACATCGAGGAAATGCAGATGGAGGAAGCCATGCCGGACGAAGCATTCTACAAGAGCTTGAACCAGGCGTACAGAGAAGACTTAGTGGGAGGAGAACCTTCCTACAGAATGAGTCAGTTGGGCATGATCTGGGAGGAGAGAGAAGAAGGTAGCGACAATGCGGAGCGCAAACCTATAGATACCTCAGTCCGGTTAGAAGCCTCTCAAGATATCTATAGTGCCTTGGACTACAAAGATTACAGGGGTAATACACCGTGCATCGGTGATGATGACCTAGCTCAATTAACGAAAATAGATTCTATTGATCACATTACCATAGAAAAATTGGACGAGCTTGATCGATTGAGCAACAAACTGCAACAGGACTCTGTAAATATAAAACACTTGCGCAGGAAATTGCTAGAATCGCCGGTTTCAATGAACGAAGCAGAAGGAGAGCACATTGATGTAACGAATGTAACAGATCTGTCCAACATTGACGAAACCCTACAGCAAATCTACGAAGACGAAAAATGGAGTTTCGCTAGCGAGATCAAAGACAAGAACGAATTTTTGATGCTGGCAAAGTCCGACCTACCGAATATGCTGTCGTTCTCGTCGAAATCAGGTTCCCGGTTCTCCTTGACAGACGCCGACAAGGAAGTTGCCGAAACTCTAGCTGGTGATTCCTCGAGAAGTCCTACATCCCCGAGAAGGAGGACTTCGGACTTGTCTACTTGCAATGCCCCTTTCACAACAGTGACTGGCCGACTAGCGTACAGCGCAGCGGTTCAGCACGTAGAGCAAGCCGAAGCAGCTGCAGCAGCTGCAGCAATGTCAGTCCCACACTCTAACAATCCTTTCTACTGTGACAGCCCCGAACTGAACTCTCTCATCTCAGCTTCCTACGAAACTCAGCCAGGGATCTTCAATATGAGAAATGGAAAACCTTCGTCACCCACCTTATCCATATGCAGCATAAGGACTCGACAAGATGGCTATATCGATCCCAGTACGTCTCCGAAGATAAGCCAGAATCATAGTCCCCCACCACCTGCACCAGACCGGGACGCCTCGTTTCTGAACAAAGCTGCAAGTTCCAACAACGTTTTTTTGGATACTAACGTAGCTTCTGCTTCAACGAGTCACAACCACGAAAGACTGAGTCCCAAACCTCACTCACCGAAATCCACAAAATCATCACCGAGAAGAGCCAAGTCCCATTCATTCTCCATGGCGCCAGCCAAGTCAGACTCTGGTTTGAGTTCCATGAGTGGTTGGTCGAGTCTCGAGAAGTCTCCGGGATCCCCGAAGAATGGAAAGATATACGCAGATGGGAAACACAGTAGGCTGGTTTCCCCTGTGCCCATGAATTACAATGCGACGATGGCAGGTTCCAGACCTTTTATGGAATCATCATTAGATTCCAAGTTATCAGAAGCATTTCTGCCTGGCGGACACCAACTGTCAGCATTCACGACTGTTAAATCGCCTTGTGGAATTGATGCTCTTGATGGTTATGGAAATTTCGTACCAGCTCCAGCTCCCGCTTCCGACATCAACGTTAGTCCGAACAGAAAAAAGAAACCTATAGAATATGCGACTACCACAGATGATGACTTCTCAGGAAGTAGTATCTACCAGTTCAACCAACCTGCGATATATTCAGTAGCTGGGAGTAATAGAGATTCCTATACATGCGTGTATACAGGAAGTAATGCCGACTACAGCTCTCAAACGAACTATCCCGACCTGATAGAGCCTTATGAAAACAACGAATATTTCAATTCACAGCAAAAAAACTGTTATCACTCCTCGCCAGGATCCGAAACTGATGCTACGCAATCTCGCTATAAATCATCTGGTAGTAGAGACCCTGAAGACTTCACGAACCATGAAGGTTATAAGACTGCTATGCACCGTACCATGTTTCCTACCGGAAATATAACAGACGCTTTATCGTATTACCCAACGTCTTCTAGAAATGATACCTCCACTAATCAATATGTCGATCTGTCACCTTGGCACAGAAACGGCTCTAGTAGAGCCCCAGACAGACCGACAAGGACTAGCGAATCACCTGAAGCTTGCTATAATACTCCACCACAACCAGAAAGGAGTCACAGCCATAATCCGCAACAAACTTTTGATAATTCTCAAAATGGAGATCAACATAGTGGCCAATGGAGTCAGAGACAAGAAATACCATACTTGGACCTTGATTTGAGGAATAAGAATGTCCCAGAGTACGTGGTTCAACAACAACATGGCCAGAATCTGTACTATGATCCTAGCGGTGTCATAATGACTCAGTCAGGTTATTTGACGATTTCTTCCAGTACTGATCATCGCACTCAGCATCATTCCGAAGCGCCTAAAAAAATGAAAAGAGCTAACACTCTAAAATCAGCTATGCATTCTGTGAGTCACTGGTTGCCCACTCTTCATTTACCTAAAAGAAGTAGGTCCCACTCTTTGCCAGGAGTGAAAAGAGAAAATATGAGAGGACATCTGAGTAAAAAGAAGAAAAAGAACGGGATAGTATCTACTGTGTCTGATATCATTCAGAAAGCCAAAAGAAAAACAAGCATATCCCAACACTATTCTTCATCGCTGTCTGACCCTGAACATTCAGAAAATGAATGGTCCACGGACAGGACACGATATGTTACTTCCGAAGATGATAGGAGTGAGGACAGTTCCAGCTTGTTTTCTGAAAGTATGTGTGAGACAGATAGCGAATTTTCGACAATCGAAAATAATTCTAAATCGAAAAGAGTGTCTCAAACAGAACAAAAAACTAACGACAAATATGGTTTACAACCAGTTTTCGAGACTGACTCAAACTTACCTGAAGAAACCGATATAGTAGATAGATCAGACCATAACGACACAACTGAGGAAATGACCAACTCTTCTGTGCCATTTTTATCGGTCGCTATACCTAAAAAGAACTCTCTACCCACAGAAAAATCACCAGACGATCTGGACACCGACAACAAAATGGTGGTATTAGTAGGTGGTGGGGCTTCCATGGAATTCGCAGTTTCCAGAGCCTTGGGTAGATATAGACAAAGACAAACATCTTTTTCCGACGATCCTTTATTCAACGAAGAAGACGAAATTATCCTAGAAGAGATCACCGAGGAGAGAGAAGAGCCAACGCAATCGGCTCCTCAAATGTACAACAAGATACTACCAGAGCAAAAATCTTCAGACAGTCAAACCAGCTCTGAAAATAACAAACACAATGTGGCAGACGAAGTCACTGTATCGGAAGACAGCCCGTCAACTATAAGCATCAAGTCGCACACCAACCGGTTCCTTCCCAAGCAACAACTCAGCCTTGAGATCCCCGGAGGCAGGGACGATGACGACAGCAGAAGCACTCACTCCTGGCGAAGCACCTCGCGAGTATCCTCGAGAAGACAGAGTACCGAAGACAGCATTGACAGCGAAGACGAGTGGTACTGCTACGAGCTTCGAAAGCTCGAGGAGATGGAGCGGCAGACTCACCTCGAACAAGAAATGGGCGCTACTTTGCTGGAAGAGCCAGAGCCATTGGAAGACGAGCAATACGAACCGAACGAAGACGTGCGGGAAAGGATGTCCTTCGTCCTCAGAGAGCTGAGGATGACAGCTAAAGTGACCGAAGGGGTGCTAGACGAGGAAGATAACAAGCTGCTAGCGGTCCAGGGTAAGAGGAACAGAGAGAAGAAAAGACCTTCCTTCCACTTGGACAATGCTGCTGCACTGTTCGAGAAGATAAAGCACTATCATCACGAGGAGTCGCAAGACGAAGTGATTGAAAAAGCAGTCACTGAAGATAGGCCGGAACGATTGGAGCTTCCTAGTCCGAACGAGCAGTCTTCTGGAGCTACATCTGGTCCAGACAGTGCTCACAGTACCGATGAGTACGACGAGGCTGAGATGGCGGTGAACGATGAGTTTGCCAGGTGTCACGTGAGCAAAGAGAACGAAGAAGATGAGAACCAGAGGGCAGGAGTGGTTACCAACGGGAACGTCGTGCTAGAGATCCCGAAGATTCAGCTGGAGAGCGAGACACCGGCAAAGGAAGAGAAGGAGGATAAGGAAGGAATCCAGGGGGGTAGTAGGTGGAAGTTGTTGAAAACATTGAAGGAGCGTAAGGCGGAGGAGAAAAGTAATCAGGGGAAAATGCCGGTTCAACCGGTAGTGGAAAAAACGAATGTGAGTAGGTATAATTTAGTTGTTTCTATGAAAGTCTTGGATTTTGATTTCATGTGATGAATAAATTGAACCTATCATACAATAACTTACTGTTTTCGTTCTAACAGTTGCTCAGTAAAGTTGGACCTAGGGGTTTCATTTCATCCGTTTTTGGATGAAGCATTTTTGAATTCGGACTGATTCATTTCCATCATCATCCCTTTAGGTTCATGAACAATTCATGTTTGTCGAGATTTCAATGACAAATCTGAGGTTTGCCGAGATTTCTCAAGCAACTGTTTTTATTTTGTATTCTCAAGCTTCCTGTGTACTAAATCATGTATGTATTATGGAAATCGTGTTCCTAAACTCATGAAATACGGTTACACATAATACGTGAGTATCCAGAGAGAGGGAAAAGAGAACGGTACATGCAGAAGTCATCGGGATATTGGCTTAGAGTGGATTCTGCAGATATTTTATTAGGATACGATAGGGTAGTGAGAGTTATTTACCGAAGCGAATAAGTAAGGGACAGAATCGATCATAAATTGTGGGTCCTGATGGTTTGCAGAGATATTCGAGAATCACGAGAAACTCGGCTGTTTCTTTCTATTCAACTTGCAGGATAATAAAAAAATCAACAAAAGTGGTTATAAAGTGTACGTGGAAATGTTTTTTCGATTATACGAGGGTTTCCAGAGAAAAAACTCGTATACGCAATTTTGTTTATTGAAAACTGCTTTAGATTTAGTTGCGCTATAAAATGTATTCGATACTTATTTCAGGCACTGTGCATACATGTATCCACGTATACATGTTCAAGATAAATCACCAACGATGACAAAAAAGAAATACACTAACGAATTCGAGTAGAAAATAGGTCTTTATGTAAATGTAATGATGATAGAATGCATGGAATCACTCGGAATCAATCATTATTAGAATAATATGTGGAAACAAAGATGCGGAATGAATCCAAGTTGCGAGGCAAATCAATAACTATCATCCTGATCAAGAAACCTCACAAAAAAAGATTGTGTGAAAAACCATCGTATAGATGATTCATCAATAATGTGACTTGATACATGTCATTTCAATGAGACTGTTCACAAACTAGTTCTAGTTATGAGCATGAGCATAAACCCCAAAAACAACCTTGAAAGTTGATCAATAATTTGAACTTTGATCCTGTACTCGTACTCCAGCATGCTTCGGTTCTAAATAAAATGTCATGAAAACGCATAGATGATGGTAAGTTTAAGAGGGAATTTCCATCATTTGTGATACAAAAATCACAAATCCAGGCGTAATTTTCATTGTTGAATACAGTTCATGGATGAATACCACAAACCTTCAAGACGAAAATGAATACAAATATTTTTCTCAGAACTTAGACTGGGAATATGCAAATGTCCCATGAATAAGTCATTACGGTGGAGGTGAAACCAGTGACAGTGAGTATAGTATTCGATATACGAATTGTCAGAAAACATACATATGTACAGTGTGACCCACTTCCAATGGGCCATCTTCAGTGATAGCTGCAACAGCCATGGAACCACCCCAATTTCCGGAAAATGATATCAGGAGTCAAAATAGGTTGGGCATCACTTCGGATTCGGAATCAGGATGCCCAATTCACCAACTATTCATAGTCCTCCTAGAAAATTTTCAGTTCAGAAGAATTAAATTTTGTCTCACTTCTCATGGAAACACCCCCGTATCTCAGAGATAAAGTCAATTCCGTGAAAAGTGTGACAAAATTAAATTTTTCACAACTTAAAATTTGCCAGGAAAAATATAAACAGTTAGTAAATTAGGCGTCCTGATTCCGAATCTGAAGTGATTTCCGACCTATTCTCACTCCTAATATAATTTTCTGGGAATTGGGATGGTTCCATGGCTGTTGCCGAGCAGTGTATATCACTGAAGATGATCCCACTTGGTCATAGGGTGTATTTTTGGTATATCTATCGCTCCAGCAGATTTCAGGATCCTTACCCAACGATTATGTAAGATACAGGGGTGTTTCCATTAGAAGTGGGTCACACTGTATAGAGGAAATGGACATATTTCGAAGAATTGATACTTCATCATCAGTATTCATTCTACCAAATATAATGAACGATATCATGATACATTTTCCTCAATAATGGACGATATTATGATAAATATTCCTCGTTCATGAAAAACAGGCGATGATATTCAAATCATATTTATGTTCACGGAAAATATCAGCTGTTCTGAAAGTGCCAGTGCAACAATATGAGTATTAAAACAACTGATGGAATCATATTCAGATAACCTTCAATTTCTTACAAGATACCTTCCTATCAATAAGTTCCAGGATATTTCCATGGATCTTCACAATCTGCTTTCAGAGAAATAGTCGGTAGTTAATACTAAACGTTTGGTAAAATAAGCGCCAGTCACTTCATTCATCAAATAACACCACAACAGAATTGTTTCATGCTGTACTATATAAGTATCATACTATTTCTTGTGGTAATATTTGATATAGTTCAGTATTATATAATTTTGTAGTGGTATTACATGAATGTAGTGAATGGCGCCTATTTTACTAAAGGTTTGGTATAAACTACCGACTATTCATCTCAGTGTGAGTATATATGACGGCTTCTAATGAGATTGATGAACATTGATTTCTTCAATGAATATCTCAGTAGGCAATACTGCTTCATTTGCCTACTGTTACGTATAACAATTCATTTCTTCTTCTTATTTCATGTTTCTTGATTTTCTGAATTTATTCCTCATTTGAGTTTATCATCAATACCTATATGAGTGTCTACTCTATCTTCCATATAGGTACGGATGGAAATTATCATCAACCGTTCTACATCATCAATCGTTGACCCATCAACATTGGATTTATTCGGAATGACGGTTAATCTAGCACTCGATCTAGCATATTTATTGCTCCTAGTTCAACTGTCATGAATGTATGAGTTATTTGCTGATGAACTTCGGATTTGCTTTTTACAATTGAAATATCACAGAAATACCAGTGTAGTGAATCTGAGACTATTGATAATTATTTTATATATTTCTAGAAGGATTCTGGAATTGCCGGAGACCAAGCTAGAGCCAATGGGTGAGTTTCCTTTTATCTTCTTTCCAAGCATCATCAGGTATACTTATTTATGAAAAAGTGTGAATCCTAACTATTTAAGTTTATATCTAAACTTTCCTATTCGATTAGTGCATATTCTGTTCACAGTAATAGCTATGCAAGTGAAAGAAATTACTTCTTGCTACGTCCCAACTGCGTATTTCATCATAATGAAAATACGCCTCCAAGCCTCAAAATAATTATTCCAGAACAATTATGGTTCTGCATATATAATACGTGAGCAGAACACAGGAAGCTCTTTATATTATATTTTTCATGACATCAGTTCCAGAAAGAGCGTTTTGATGAGCTCTAACTGTTCTCAAAAAGGGAATATTAATTCTGCTACAAACGACTCCTCTCTGTTTATATCATATGTTCTGGAAATAAAGGAACTTGAAGTTTGATAAGCACATTTCATTCATTTGTGGATGGAAAATTGTTTACATCAGGTAATCGTAGCTACTGACTTCAAAGTATATATTTGATAAAGAGTAAGTTAGTCAGGAAGTAAGTGACCATGAATGAAATAAGATTTTAGAGAAAAACCAAAACTTCCAGAATAAAATGTGTTTTAACCTCCATAGCTTAACATCCTCAAGAAATTCCAGAAATATCTTCAGATATCTCGGATACTGGGTGTTCTGAAATAACATAGACAGATTTCAGCTACAGATTATATGAAAAAAATATATAGGTATAGAGAAAGTTGGTCCAGAAATGGCTCTCTAGGGAGTTATAGCCATTTGAAGGCGAATTCTCGATGAAATATCCACATTTTTCCCATGTAGCTTATTATTGATGCCCGATTGAAAAATGTTGAGAATATTCCGAAATCCTGATCAGGGGCGCGAGAACTAAGAGGGATTAGGAACAACTTTTCTTATTATAACTTGTGTTTCTGCAAGTTTCGGTCAAAATATATATAAATATTCTCACAATTCTTCCTCGGGAATAGTACTCTAGTTTAGTGTCGATAGCAATCAGCATTTTTGAGATGAATCGATTTTCAAATTCTGCTGCGTATAAGATGAAAATAGTGTTCTTTCCTCAATAGGGTAGGTAGCAACAATCATCATTTCTTAATTATATCTTTCCATTCCAAACCTGATATTTATAATCATATTATCGAAGGTAGATGTTGAAAAATTCGGTTCCTTATACCTACTAGACAGTAGCTGAGCTCTTGCTAACAGTCTATCTGTTAAGGTTTAGGGCAACCAATCAATATAAAATCAAAATAGAGTCTCTTCTAAAATTATCTCAATATGATTTGCATTTGTTTGAAGTATTTATTTCAATTATTAACAGCCGAATAACAAAATGTAATATTTTTTTCAAATAATGCAACTTTACGGAATTGTAACTCCTAACATAATTTATGTGTCATACAAGAAATGTTTACATACACGTAGAAAACTTTGTCCTTTTTAACTTTGTGTTGAACATCTATTGTCGTGAAAGCCACAGTTCTTGAGGTATCATCAAAAATACAAGTGTATGTACATGAAATCCAAGATGGCGGTTCGAGCGCATGCACCTCGAGGTCGAAAACTGGAATTTATCATTGGGGCCCCAAGCCTAACAAGATACTAAAAATTCACTACTATCCTACCTTCTGCATTCACACCCTCATTCGATATACTCACGTAACTGGAATATAAGGAAAAAGCACAATTTCTATCACGCAACAAAATTACAAAATCGAAAAAAAGCGAATGCTACCGAAACTGAACAGGAGTACCATCTTCAAGTGATCATCTTGATATTTGCATATTTTCTGGTCAAACTGTATATTGAGAAAAAAGTAGGGGGGAAAAGTGCCCCTGAAACAATTTCAAAATATTCCCATCATTTTCAAATTGAGCATAAAAAGTTAGGTACAAGTACAACATTTGGTTATTCCACCACAGGAGAAATTTGTACTCCGGACTCGCCTTCAGATTGCTTTAACAAAGTAGGAGGCCATTTCTGGACCCATTTTTCCATAGAATCTGTAGTTGAAATCTTCCTATGTAATATTGAGACACCCTGTATAATGGCTCATTTCGTACCAAGTTTTCAATCATACCACCTTTGTTGCCTTTGACTTGCTCTGATTCCAGTAGGGAAAGAAAACGAGTTAATTTGTTAATTATTTTTCACAGACATCCTGGTGATAACCCTTTCTACAGCAACATCGATAGTATGCCTGATATTAGACCAATCAGGCGGAAATCCATACCGCTTGTATCGGACTTGGTAAGTTCACACTTTCCATCATCTTAGACATACAAAGTATAATAATTCAACTTTCTCCGTTAATTTGTTCAGTGAAATATGTTAACTGAAGTTTATTAATCAAGTATTCCTTATTTCACTAGTCGCCAGTTAATCCATTCTTGATAACCTATGACTTTGTCTCAACTTCCAACAAACCGAAGTCATCTCACGGTATGATCTTATCAATGGCTCTATGGCTCTGTGGTGAACAAAGCATTAGACGTCACCGTACGTTTCTGTGTTCAAATTGCGGCCTAATTGTTCGTTCTCGAGAATTCTATGTAGATACGAATGGCGTGTAATTAATTAAGAGAGTTTATGCTGGATATATGGCTCCAACTCTTAGGAATCATAATTGAATCAGCAACTCCAAACTCGAAAAAATGTTATCTAATATGAACTCTCACATCAACATTTTCTGACTGACATATTCTCTAGCACACGAAGAGCCAGGGGGAAAACGATGGAGCTCATGAAAAGTGAGTCTTTCAGTAGAACCTTTCCAAAGTTTTGAAGTATACAAGTCGAGGAAACCAACCATGTTCTCAAAGTGGTCCAGAAATTTGAAAAGGAAAAATACAACGAACCCAAAGTTGGTCGACCACTACAAATTTCATTTACATAAGGCGTGTAACTAATTTCGGGACTTGGCCATCATCAGACACATAATTTAAAGCACCTGTAAGGAAATACATGGAAAATTTCCAAAAAAAAAACTACTGATGAGAGGAATCTCACCATGGGGGTTGTCAGTCCTAATTGTACGATACTGATTTATAGCGGCTGAACAACCAGAAATAGCTGTTAACAATCTGGTTGAACATCAGAAGAAATTAATGGGAGCAAATTGAAAAAAAATCACTCAAAAATTCATTGAGATCATCGTATGTAGGCTGGCGGCCATAAGACAAAGCAAAACCAAGCACCAGAGGAAGATACACTACATGACAAATGATTGACAGATGGACATTTTTGGAAGTATACCCAAATTGCTAAAAGGATGTCAATCCATTAACCACATATTCCTTGAATAAAAACAATATGAGTTTCTGAATACCATTTTTCATTTTAGCACTTCATATTCGATATACAGGGTGTCAACGTTGGAAATTGAAAACTGTTTTTTTTTCTAATTACTCGCGTATTTATTAAGATATCAATGTCAAAATTGGTATATTACTTCAGCACAAAGAGTTACATCGTGTGAGGAAAACAAAACAGAAAATAACTGTCAACTATTCAAAATACTGGGGGTCAAGTACACACTTACCCCTTTCTTTTGTACGTGCGCTAATGACTTCCTTTCTATTTTTCTTCAAGTGTGCAATCATTTTTGAGTATTTTTTGTTCCTTGTAAAATTTCGATAAAATCATTTGTTTTTAAGATGATTCGTATCGATTAAGTACTGGTTATTGTTTGATGCCTATGCGGCTTACGGTAATCTCATAATGTTCACATACTCCTATTTATTTCGTCGAAATTGAAAGATCAAATGTTATCGATTATTATTCTCATTTCGACCTTTTATTCGAGGTACGATGGATCTATTATGCAATGAGTGTGTCTAGACCAATCCTGAAGAAGAACAAAAACCATTTAGATCATGAGAATATCCGACATTCGACAATTCGGAAAATTACCACCAAAGTAACTGGTATATACCATTGTTTGCCCTCTCGTGGTGTATCTCTCTGAAAGTTGTAAGGAATGAAATCTTGGGAAAGCATTGACGTATTATAATTTCTCATCAAAACATCACCTACGATATTTTTCAGAATGCCACTGTATTGAACAAGGCGGACCTGATAGCATCAAAACATTCAGAACATGTCTTCTATTGCTTAAATTGAACTCACATAGTCTCAAGAAAATCGGAATAAGGGTCATCGAGATATCGATGAAAAAGGTGTCAATCAAGAAATTATTATTGGACGTTTGTTCATGGAACCTATATCACATTTTTAAGGGTAATATAAACTTCCGAAGTTTGGGAGATGAGTACTGAAACAATCCACATGATTGCACAAAACGAGAACAAAAAGAACGATTATCATGATAGTAGTGGAGCTATGCGAATTCTGGACCAGAATCTCATGCATTTTTCTCTTGAGGTCCAATCTAGGCACGTGGTCACTCTGAGGAGAGAGGTGCAACGAGGGATATTCTATATTCCAGAGTTGTGATGAGGAGGAGGAGATTCCTCTCAACGATATATGAAAAACACTCGAAAAAAGTTCATATTAACATTGGTTCAAAATGCTCCGTTCCCGAGAGTAGAGAAAACTGCGTTTCTTATCAATATCTTGAAAACGCTTGAGCCAATTTGAATAACATTTTTATTGTTTATTTACACAATTATCAGACATTCACTGGACATTTTGATCCAGAATTCCCTGGAGCGTACACACACTGTGTTTTTATTCCACATACCATTATATATACAACATTTCTGTCTCTTGCCTGTTCGAATATTTTGAGGTTATCTTCATATTTGTCATTTAGAATACGTCAAAGATATACTGTTCTTCACTTGGAGGTAATGTTCATGAATGTCAATGGGAATACGTCAAAGATCTACTGTTCTTTACTTGTTCGTTTGTGCTTCAAATATTATCGAAAATACCGGAATTCATGTTCTGGTCTATTCAAAAATTATCATTTGTGAAGAGTGTGTGTTTTTGTTTATTGTCATTACGCTACATTTATTCAAGTTGAGAGTGAATAGGTATCATTCCAGTTCTCATAGAAGTTTACCTAACAAATGCGGAAAAGTCAATTTACGCACGTGTTAGGTACATTATTCTCCTACAAGCGTGCGGAAAAACCCAAATTCCTCTTTTTACACTCATTCCAGTTTTGACAGTTCCTTCCGCACTATCATGTTGTATGAGGAGGGCCGTTGCAATGCCCGGTTCATTTCGACCGAGCAATAAGGAACCATTCAAACCGAGTTTACCCTGGACAGCGAATAGGTAGAGAAGGACCCGTTGCATACCCGTTCAATCAGAACATTCCTGATATTTCGAAAAATTACGTCGAAGCAGGAGGTCGTAATTTTGAACTTTTTTTGTAATTCCATTACCAGTTAATAACTGAAATAAATATTCCTCACAAACTTTTAAGATCATGAATAATGATGTGCAATACATTTTTGGATGATATCTGATTTTTCGAGGCATCTTTATTTTTTCTTGTGGTGTAGAGATTTTTTCCGAGGTATTGTCCGTTTTTATCTAGAACGAAGCAAGATATGAGAAATGGCAAGAGACAAAAATGTTGTATCTTTAGTGGGTTCATCTGAATATTCGAGAAGTAATAGAAAAATACACTGGGTGACTGTTTATTCCATATAAAAGCCGACTTGCTCGATAGGATGTCCCTGGCAATCCTGGATTGAATCTAATTGATCCAGTGAATGTCTGATGATTGTATAAATGAATCATTAGAATTCCATTTGAATCAGCTTGAGCGTTATTAAGATATCAATGAAAAAATTTCTTTCACCTCGGAAATGTAACATTTTTGGACCCATATTCATATGAACTTTTTACTTATTTTGTTAGGAGGAATATCGCCTAGACATTTGTCACTACAACTCTGGAACACCCTGTATATACAGTGTGGTCATTTGAGTGTGCAACATATGGGAATCTTTTTAATGAATTGCACAACCAAAATACAGATAGTGCCGAAAGTTGGTGCATGTTCGGTCATCATTTTAGCTGCACTAAGAATGGTTGCAAGTCACACAGCATACATGGTAGGTCAAGAAATATAAAAATTGCTCAAGAGTGAAGTATCCTTATTTCAGAAGATTCAGCAGAATGTTATTGAGAAAAGTTGTTTACAATTGAACGTTGTGCCTAAATACTAAGACATGGCCTCCTAAAACATTTTTTAGTTTTCCAATTTTGTTCGTTGATAATTTCCCAATTTGTAATATTTTAAATACAAAATGTTCACATTAAATGGAAGTTTTTGAATATGCATATTATAATTAATGATATTTTACCTTGTTGAAAATATGGTTTGCGAAATTTTAAAGTTTAGCTGAATATCGTTGCAATCCAATTTAATTGCACAAATTTGCTCGAATTTGAACAAAGATATGCTCAACTGAATTTGTTATGATCAACTTATGAAAGTATTTAGGGTGAATATAAAAGAAAATTACAAATTTAGAAATTATTCACGAACAAAATTGAAAAACTAAAAAATATCTCAGGAGGCCATGTTTTGGTATTTAGGCGTAACTTTCAATTGTAAACAACTTTTCTCCATAACATTTTGCTGAATTTTCTGAAATAAGGGTACTTTACTCTTGAGGAATTTTTATATTTTTTGACCAACCATGTGTGCTGTGTGACTTGCAATCATTCTTAGTGCACCTGAAATGATTACCGAACATGCACCAATTTTCGGCACTATCTTTAGTTTGGTTGTGCAATTCATCAAAAAGATTCCCATATGTTGCACATTCAAATGACCACACTGTATATTCTGATTATAGATGTATCCGTTCGTAAAATGCTTCATGTATTTAACTCCTCATATCTTCGATTCACCACCTTGTCCTGCTTTGGCCACAGGATGTTCAATTTAGATGGGATTGAACTTCCATAAGAAAATACATGGGATTCCAAAGCCCCCATTGTTTCTGGGCCAGAATCCCCATAGCTTATCTACTAATGATACTACGCTGATTTGTGATGAAATTATCAAGGAAATAAATCGATAGCTTCATCTCTCATCCCACTCCAAGTTTCCAGTAGAAACGTATACCCATGCAAATTATTCATTTCAACCCTTCATTAATAAACTCGATGGCTATACCGAAACTTTGGGTGGGTCTCAAAAACTGACGATTCTCATACTAAAACCGAAGGACTATTAATTACCAACCGAGTAATGATTAATTTGATAGAAGTATTACGCGTCCGTGCCTGCTTGATCAAATAGGATAGGACAAGATAATTGAAAGGTTCGACCGGATAGGAGGCCATGA